ACCGCGGCCTTCAGATGGGATCACGTGCCCGTGGGCCTCCCTGCAGGACGCAACAACCGCACGGATCCCCCAACCGGCTCTCAGCCAGTTGGCCTATCATTGGTCTCTTCTGATGGCGGAGGCGGGATCTCGAACCCAGTGGCCAATGAAGAAGTTATTGGTTACCATGGCAACAGGGCGCTGCAGCACGCTTTCCCCGCTGGGCGGAGCCCGCTCTTCTGAGGATCACACTCCATTGCCCCAGTTCTACCTCTGGATAGAGTGGGGATCGGAAGTTGGGCGACAACCAGGACCCAAACCCTTCACAAATGCCAGCAGTGTGGATGAGGCCCGGCTAGCCCAAGGTTTAGAGAAGGCTGCCTAGAGGGGGGACATTCTGAATAGAGACAAGAAACCCAACTTACTACAATGGAGTGGACATAGCACTTGCAGGGCAAGGCACAGGGCTGGGCAAATTTAGGTAGGAATGAGTAGGGTAAGTGCTTAGGGTGCCTAGTAAGCAGATTAGGGCTTCCAAGACAAGGTCCACCCCGAGCAGGGTGGGGGACCCAGATGAGCAGCCGCAGCTGAATTGTGGGCCTCACATTGTCCTTCAGTCCTGCAGGAAGAGACAGCCAGGGGTAACCAAGGCCATTCCCTTGCCTCAAGGCAGCTTGCACGCAGTGTTAGGTATAGTTATATCCTGTCTTGGACACTCATTAACCTTGAACTCTTATCAGGAAAGAGGAAGGTGACCAAGTTCATTGTCCCCATTTCACAGATTAGGAAACTGAAGCCTGCCTGGTAAAGTATCCCACCCTTGGGCCCTGGGGCCTGGCTCAGCAGGGCTCTCTTTTAATTCCCTGGTGTGGTGGCTTGTCTGAAAAAGCACTGTGCCGCGGTTCTGATGCTGTCCACACCTGCTGATTGTGCAAGGGTGCTGGGCCGACTGAACCCCATGTTTAACCAGGTAAGTGAGCCAGGACAGAGAACCCTGCCCCTTCCTCTGCTGGCCCTGGGTGGGGGTGCAGCAAGACTCCCTCCTCAGTCGCTCTGAGAATGAGTCCAGTATCCCCTTACCCTCCCACAAAAGCCCACAGTCTAATGGGGAGACAGACCTACAGTGACCACACAGTGTGATAAGTGGGAGCACAAGAGAAGAGGTGCCTGAGTCCACCCCGGGAAACCAGGGGAGACTTCACGGAGGAGGCAGCCTTTGAGAGAACACAAGACACATAGGCCTTTGCTAGGCAGATGAGCAAGGGCAGGGCACCCAGGGAAGGAACATCTGCAAAGACCTAGAGGCCTGGCTGAGCATGGCTCACTGGGGAAACTGCAAGTCTGGAGTGGATTGTGGCAGGACTACGCTGTGGAGTGAACACCAGGACAGCACTGTGTGCCCTGCAGCTGGCTGCTTTCACCCCCCTTCTGAGCCGGCAGGCACCCCCATGCACTTTTCTCCAACTAGCAGATTCATGGAGCCCCAAGAACCATATCTGAGGATCAACTTCAGCCACACGCCAACAACATGGATAAATCTCATGGGCATAATGTTGAGATAAAGGGGACAGGGACTAAAGAGTCATTCTATATGACCCCGTTATATCAAGTTCAAAAATAGGCAAAACTGATCTATGGTGGGAAGTCAGGATAGTGGTTACCTGTGGGATATGGAAGGTCTTGAGGAGGGTCTCTGGGGTGAGGGGGGCACTAATAATATTTGTTTCTTGATCTGCACGTTGGTTTCACAGATGTGTTTCACACATTTATCTGTCTGTATATGTAAGGTTTGTGTATTTTTCTGTATGTAGCTTCTACTTTAGTAAATTAAAACAAGTTAACTGCCTTTTTAAAAAAATCCTTACCCAAAGGTATGTTTTTATTATTTTATGTAGCTTCTACTTTAGTAAATTAAAACAAGTTAACCGTTTTTAAAAAAAATCCTTACCCAAGGATATGTTTTTATTATTTGAGAGAGAGGGAGAAAGCAGGAGAGAGAAAGAAATGAGGAGAGAGAGAGGGAAGAGAGAGAGAGAGAGAGAGAGAGAGATGGGTTGCCTCCTGCCCTTGCCCCAACACAGATCAAACCTGAAACCTGAGTATGTGCCCTGACCAGGAATTGACCCTGAGATCCTTCCATGCTTGGGCTGTTGCTCCAACCAACTGAGTCACACCAGCCACACCAGCCTCGGCCAAGTTAGCTGCTTTTCATAACATCAGTGCAAAGATAGACACTAAAATTTGGGGATCACATAATAGGCTGTAAGCCAAGCATCCAGATGATGTAGAATATGTTTATGTTGATATTTTCAGATTAATCCAAAATGACAACACAAACATTTTAAAGTCTTGTCGAGATCTCTCAGGCTCCAGAGAACCCCTGTACAGACCCAGGGTTTGGGGAACCCTGACCCAAGAGGAAGCATTACAATGCTCGGCATGGAGGTCAGTGAGGGGCCTGGAGCCTCTTCCCGGGGCACAGGGAGGTGAAGTCCTCTTCCAGTAGAATGCATGGTCCGGGGAGGCTTAGGCCCAGCTCTGTCATAGCTGAGAGGGGGTCTCCCTGGCTCAGCTGTGAGCTCCTGGAGGCCAGAGGTTGCTCACTCACTCTGTGTCCCTGGGTCTGGCACACAGAGGGTCTCAGAGGACCGTTATGCCAGGGCCTCTTTGCCCAGTCCCACGATGGGAGTAGAGGAGGGGGGCTGCTTGGGCAGTTGTAAGCTCCCCCTCACTGAGTTCCACTGCACAAGTTCACAAACCACGAATGGGCAACGTTGCAGGCGGGGTTCAAGGTGGGGTTAGAGTTGTCCAGTTCCCCTGGTAGGGGAGAGCTGGATGCAGAGGGGGCTCTGAGCCCTGGGGACCACGAATACGGACAGGAAATCCCAGTCCTGTCTGCCCAACAGTCTTGCTGGAGCTGCTAATAGCCCAGCTCTGGGGGAGACAGACTGTTCCAGTACCCAGAGGGCATCTGTGGGCAGGACAGACAACAGCTGCTCAACAGCTGTCTCCTCCCGTCCTTTGGGACTTTAGTTCTCATCCGTCCTGACTCTGCCACCCTTGCCCTCTCGTAAGAATCCTCCTCCTTTTGTTCTTTGCCATCTCCACTCAGCCAGCACTTCTAAACCACCGTTATGGTTTCTACCCTGGCCTGTGCTACCCGCAACATTATTTACTCAATATTTTTTCCTTCAAGCAATGCTAAGTTTCTGTTGTTGTTTTAACATGCCTTTGTTCTAAGCAATAATACTTGTGAAACCCTGGATTTGTTGTGCCAGTTTTATTTTTTCTGGCACACATTAAATTTTAATTTAGAATATTTATTCCTGTATTACCTAAAATTATCCCGTGTCCCGCCTCATTGGAAACCATCTTATACAATGGTTCCGCCAGGATGGGTGGTTATTACTTATTAAAAATAGTGATAGCCTCGTGTTAGCAGTGAGTTTTATGTCTCTTCCGCACATTCACAGTCACAGTCTCATTTGATATTCTCAGTTCCTGCCCGGCGGACATCACTGGCCTCATTTCACGGATGAAGCTGAAGACCAAGGGAAGCTCAGAGAATAGTAGCAATTCATCTAGGGTCTGACAGCAAGTTGGGACTTTGGTCCTGATTTAAGACTCGGGTGGCTTCTGACCTAGGATGGAGGCAGGGAAGAAGGAGGCATGTCTGTCTCCAGCCAGACCCACAGGAGCCACAGCA